TACCAGCTATATGTACGTCCACGGTTTGTGAATATAATATAATGTGTGTGTATAATCAACAGGTGATATATGTGATATTTTTGAACGAATGAAAAAAAAAAACCGTTTTGACTTCGAAGGTTGTGGGGAAATTCGATAACGTTAAGTTTACCGATCTGGCGTCAGATAGTGTATAGCAGCAGTAGTTAGTGGTAATAATATAACAGCGGATCCAACAGGAATCCTGCTGCACGTTTTATAGTATCTCTAATTAATGTACACTCAACTCGCTGCGTGCACTTTATACGGACATAATATAAAATATGTATTACCACACCGCGAATTCTTCAACATAAGACGTTTCGCTAACGCCGTTGATTACCTTTTCAAAATGCGGTACCGCACCCACTTAAGCTATTCATTGTATACACCGCGGTAAAAGCTGTTTGCACGTCAGGCCTTTTGTGTGTACAAGTCAGCGCGTAAAATTAATGCAAGCGCAACCGAGTGATATGCAACGGCGGATTAAAGGCGAGTAGACGATAAAAAAAAAATACCTTCATAGATATGTGTTATATGAATGGATTTTTTTTTTGCCGGTTACGCTTTAATATCCAGGACCTACGGAGAAGCTTTGGAGAAAAAATAATAATAATAATACCCGAGCGCAACGTCAACGTTATAAGTGTTAAGACTTTCGTCGGTATATGTGTGTGTTCGTGTGATAGTCTCTATGCCTGTAAAATGTATAGTATGAACAAAAAAAAAAGTAGGATGCTAGCGCCAGTTTTATGTCAGTGCGGTGTATAATGTTTAGTTTGTGAATACACTCAGAGAATTTCTCTCTTGCCACTTAAACGCATATACTATCTAGCCGCTGTAGTTTTGCATAGGACACGAGAGAAACGGTATGTATTGAAATGTCCAAAGACTGTCAGGCTTCCACAGATTGTTGTGTACACACTTTTAAAATAATTGTAACTGGGGTAAATATATATACATATATATATATATATATATATATATATACATCATTTTTCTAAGGTTAACATGTGTAAGATAACAATTATAATATAGTGTATTACTGTGGCGCTGTAAAGTATTTGTAGCTTGTTAACAGGTGACAATCTGTTAACAAGCTACAAATACTTAATCTGTACCTCACTATTGTCTGTTTTATTGTTAAATATATTTACAATCACTTCATTTATGGCGTTCCTTTCGTACCCAATACTTATTTATGCCGATGACGCAAAACTTTTTGCACATCTTTCATCTTAGGATGAAACTACACCGAGCTTACAGGGCGCGATTAATTGTTTTAGTTATAGTCACCCGCAAACAAAACCACTTTGAACTTATAATGATATTTTTGAACTTAATATGTTCATTATGACAACAGAAGGCAAAACAGCTCTGCCCTACAGTTTTTTTTTTATCAACCTGATGAAAGCTTATTCAAATTAAGATTTATGATCCACGTCTCATTGAGCGTAAGGTTATTGAATCTTGTATTTTTTTTTTTACCAGATCTCAAGAAATCTTTCATATTCCAACCTTTACTTCGTCTATGCGTGACTAAATATCGATCCTGTTTCGACTGTTTGGTCCGATCCTTTGCCTAAGCCACCACCTTTCTAATACCTTGCATAATATGTCTTAATTGTTTAAAAAAAATACGCATATAATAATCTACTAAACAATTCTTAAAGTGTGCTGAAAACAATTTTAAGCAACTATAAGCCGAGTTCTTTTTATTTTTTGGATTATTTTTCTGCCCAACGGTGATAATCACGAAAAACCAAATGGTCGCAGTTTAAATTTTGTGACGATTAAACGTTACATTGTTGAAACACAAACAACAATTATGATAGTAGTATAATTAAAGCTAGTTATATTAACCGACGTTTACCTTGTCGCAGTTGTTTTAGTAAGATCAGTTTACGTACTAAGAATGAAAATTCCGCGAACCGTGTAACAGATAACAGTTTAATGCCATAGTTCAGCGGAATGCAAAGACACTTGATTTCAAACGGTGTAGCTTCTTATCGCGAATTTGTATCCGCCATTTTAGCGCCGAGTGCCCCATTTTATGTTTCCTTTCCCCGTCAAAGGAGGATGTTTGTAGTAATTTTCACTATTGCTTTTCATTCTACCTACCTCGTCGGTTCATAACAGCGAATTGTATATTATTACAAACAAAAACACATATAATCTCTCCGCCGAATAAAAAACGAAGCCGGCACGTTACACACCCCCCCACGTTGATATCCCTTTTGTGTTGCATATATTAATAGTGTCTATATTTTACCATTATCCCGGTAATTGATTATCCACACTGTTGCATTAACCCGGTGGATTAATGCGTTAGTAATGGACTGCCATTCACCAGAATACAAAAAAATACACTTTTTTTTTTTTGCATAGGTGTTTTTCAATTACAAAAAAATAATACAGCTTTTGTCCCGTAAAGTTCAACGCTCAGTTCGATCATTTTCAAACCCATAAACAAAAACTTATTTTCAGCAAAAGGGTAAATTCATTGGGAATTTACTAAAAAAGTTATGGCAATTAATATTTACCAACGACATGTAATATTAAAACAATTATTACTCTGTTGTGATCACAGATAAGACTCGACAGACCTGGTATGGGTTGGCATAGGTTAGGCGAGTACGTGTAGAAGAGGATTAAGGCAAGACTCTAAATGTGTCCATATAAAGTATTATGTTTTCAGTAAAACTTCCAAGCAAGTTCGTTATCGCGCTGCCATAAATAAAGGGAGGACGTTAATATATTATACGCGAAAGGATGACACGATGAATAATTGGACGCCTTTGGAATGATAAATGTTAACTTGATTACGATAAGGTGTATGCATGGTTTGATGAGTGAGATTTTTTCCCTTAAGAAAAAGTCCTTTATATAATATAATATAGTCCTTAATAAATATGCGTTATAATTATAGTATGAATATTATAAACGACGGACTTGGCAAAACGTAAATTAATATTTTACTCCTTAGTTGTCTAAAGTAGGCCCATTTCTAAGTGTGAATTTTTGTTTCCTAAAGAAAACAACTTTACAAAGTGCGCTCTGAGAAGCCAACAAATCCGTCATAAATATCTTAAACAACTGCAGTACTTAATATAAATAACAAAAACTATTAAATCTTTTTTTTTTATACACAAATAATGTAAATTAAAGATAGGCAAATTTCTTTTTGTAAAAAAATGTCTCTTGAATGCCAACTAAACGAGCATGCTTGAATAGTATTTTTTTTTTTTATTATACTTTAGAAGCATTTGTTAACCTAGTCTTAACATTTAATACTTGTAAACATTATCAATATTGTTAATTTTACTTAACAGTAGACTACATTGGGTTTTATCGGGTTTGGTGTACTTACTTTTAGTGATAAAAGAGAGATAATCTATGATTATGTTAACCATGCAGCAAAATTGTACAAAACGGTTTTTTAAAAAAAAATTTTTTTTTTTTGTTAAACAAAAGTACACGTTAAATAAAACATTTTTCCCACTTCGATTATGTTGTTACTTAAGTTTTCAGATATATTCATATTCCTAATACCTATATACTTATCACAATTAAATTCTAGAAGCAGGTGGTCAAAACATAACTTTTAAACGTACACCTTTTTTCTTAAAGGCTATGGTCAAACTGAAATCTCGAATCAATGTGGAATACAGGTTATATAGGGAACGGATCCTCTATATTATACTCAATGATCCAGGGTTCCTAAAAATTATAAATCCGAACGATTGACATATTTAATAATTGATCATTTATACATTATTCATCGCAAAGTAAATACTTATGACTAAATTATTATAATATACGATAATGAGTTATGTCGGGTGAAAGTTATGAATGAATGAATACCTTTTTTGAAAAATTGACAAATCGATTATTTTTCTCTTCTTTTTCTACTTTATATTTACAGTTCCGGGTACTATATGGATGTCAGAAATATTTATACAGCAGATTACAATTTCAAAATGTTGATCGAATACCCGCCATAGTTTATGACGATGAATAAGACATGCGGTGGCGGGTTCTCTCTGCCCGCGCCCAATCACAGTTCAAATATTGGTTTAAGTATAAACTGTTATTGCTTACTATGCTCTGATGATAATTATATTGGAAGTTATATACCATTTTATATTACCGTATATATTATACAGGGGTTATGCTCTTATACCAATATTAGAACAAAACGTCGAAACTCAAAGATGCTTTGTTTTTCAAAACGAATCGTCTGTATTGCTTAAGAGTTATCATGGAAAATTTTACTAACTTAAAAACTAGTCACATTTTTTGCAATTTCAAATATTTTCTTCGATGCTACCCGATGAAATCGGTTCAGCGGTTTAGAAGATATCGTGGGTCCAAACAAACAAAAAAAATAAAAATAAAAAACACATCAATGTAAAACCAATATCTTCTCAGCCACGCATCGAAGCTTAAATATTTATATTATGCATAATAATAAATAATACATACTCGTATACCGAAAGGGCAAACGTACGTTAACCCCTATATAATGTATACGGTAATATAAAATGATATATAACTTGCAACATAATTATCATCGGATTATTACTTTGTTATGCATATAGGCATTGTGTGATGTACGAAGATCGCGTATAATATTTTATACATAATATAATATGTGCTAGCTGAAAGCACTAATTTATCTACCGTCGGCCTTCAGCGACCAACAGCCCACATTACCATAATATTTTAAAGGGTCGGTGAAACTACATATTATTATATCAACGTACGAGTATGAAATTGCTGTGATCCCTAATGGGAAATTATTAATCTCATAACGTCGATATACTTTGATCTCGAAATTTGCACTTGACGATCAAACCCGTTTTTGGCGGTTATATTTTTTTTGCGGTCCACATAAACGACCGGATGGACCGGATGAAGTACACATTATAAATGTGTTTATGGTAGATTATAATATAGAAAAAAATTGTTTTCTGTTTTAGGTATTGTGTTCTTTTCGAAGTGATGAAAGCGACAAAAGCCTGCAGAAAAGTACCCGAATACTCGTTACTTCGAGAAGGTAAGTTTTTGAACATTTCAAACACCCGACCATAATCACTCCCAAAGTTTCTCCAAAACCGTCTCTGACTCGAAACAGAAAAAAACGATTAAACTCACACTACATAGTACTAATATACCACAAAGCAGCTCAGTGACAATCTCAAAACATATACATTTTTGTAATTAAAAAAAACACAAATTACCTTTGCTAAAAAAAAAAATGTACATCTGCCCCCTGTTCAAACTAAAAAAGTTCCTTCCTGTTCTATATTATTTCTTACTAATAAAGTTTTACCAAACTAATCGGTCGTTCATCGTTCGACTTACTTTACTTACTATTCAAAACCACGGCGACCTAAAATATCTACATTGATCCAATAAGCTAAATCTTACTATTAAAAAGTCAATTCTAATCCTCTAATCAGCCAATTATCCTATGCCACACTTCCTGATAATTAACTGAAAATAAAACGATCTAGAGACCTATTTCAATAATTTAAAAAAAAAACAAGTAATTAAAATATCTTAAGCTAGTGGTACTGCTGAGTGTCGTCATCCCATAAACTCTATTTTCATTGTCATTTAATTATTCACTGTCATCACACTTGCTTAATGTACTATTTGTATTAATTAAAATAAATATTTAATAATAATAATAATGAAATAAGTAAACTTTAAACATTGTCTAAACTAGGTATATTTTATCATTAGCTGCTTGAACATAATCCGTATAAATTGTTGGAAGTTGACAAGTTATGCAACTAAGAAAATGTCTCGTTTATAATAATTTATTTATATTAATATTACTCACCAGTTAGTTTAATTATGAAAATATTATGATCTGTTTTTCTTTCATTATGAAAGAAGATTTTTTTTTTATGATTTCTGTAAACTAAAATAATTACCACTCGGTGGAAAATTCTAGGCTCAGAGTAATATAAATAAAAAAACACTGTAGGTAGGTAATATTTTTAAGAACCACGTTTTCTTTAATGGTCAAAATGCAGATAAACACCATCCGCGCTAGATTATTATATCCTTATAGAAGTTGCTGAATAAATTATGTTACTATTATTAAGTCCGCCAGACTATGGTCCGTGGTCATATTTTTTTAAAATCTTATTTACCTAAATAACTTTGTTTAGAAATTAATGACTTTTAAATTTTCAGAAGATCTGTGCTGTGATAATAATGAGATTTAATTTTTCAGTCTTCTGTCGGGTTAGGTTATCTGTTCTGTAAATTTTATCCAAACTCATCAACAATCTGTTTTATTTATCCGAGTTGGTTACACATATATTGCCTTGGCCGTTATTCCCAGTCTCAATTATATCCAACAACTTTTGCGTCATTAGCGTCCTCCGACTAATCAATCCAATCTGTTTTTTATCTACGTCAAGCTGCTCAGCTATTTCTACAAAAGCCTTGGCATTAACTTATTTTATCTATCAATATTTAACTCTACTGCCACTGGTATAGCCATATTAGCATATTATAATCTATCTGAGCCATTTTGCACCATATAGTTGCCCTTGTTAAACGGCGTTTTTAGATGTAGTTGAAGTTTGAACTGATTGGTGTGTTGGGGAATGTAAGGTCCTCGGTGTTGCTCCAATTTTAGTTGGAAAACTCTTGTCACTTGCGTTCTTGGTGTACGACAGAGGAAACCTTGATCCCTGGAAACAGGGATGAACCTTGATGATCCTAATATGTTCTGGATAGTCTCGAGTTGTCTTCGATTGTATTTCCGAAATAAAATTAATCAATCTGGTATAAATAGCAAAGGTAAAAATCTTTGTTTGGTGTATACTCTGTGGACGTCTTTAGTTTTGTTCAGATGCCAATCTGGTGACTCCTTTTATTGTAAGTAAATATATAGGCCATTACGATCCGACGGCATTTTTGATACGGTTGTGCTCGTTGAATAGGTACTTGAGTTCGGTATCTGGTCTGACAGCGAAATACCAAATGAACCATCCGATTCATTATAGGCTACACCTATTGATTTTGAGCTTGACTGCAAAAAAATAAATACAGCAAAAACGTTTTGACTAATCGGTGAGTTTTGCTAGTCAATTTGACGCATTTCTACTGGAAATAGTTGTTATTATAAGCCTTGAACTCCAACTGTTGGTCAAGGTTAGTTTGATAACTTGAAAGTAAAATTGAATAAGCAAATTTTTTTAATTTAAATGCTTTGTGGTGACTTCTAATCAATGGCATAGTAAAGTTTTCTTTTCTATGAGGCCAATAGTTAAAAATTTGAGGTACACTCAACCTCCTCTCATACCTCAGTTATTGATCGCTAAAAAAAATATGTGCTGTTATCCACAATATTTGAGAGTTAAAAGGGAGACTAACAACCACAAAAAAATCCTTTCACCACGCCATTGTTTGAAATTATTAAACATGCAAAACATCTTGGAGCGAGTCTTTCTCAAGTAAATCCCAATCACAATAGTTGTTATACCTGTCTTATCATCAATTTGTACTCGCCTATCAAAAACCATTATTAACACTAGGTTACTAAGTCATTTATCAGCTAGCTAATTGTCTTTTACATCCCCTTATTTCTCCTGTTAATCACCATTTTTATCACTTATCAGCTCGTTCTCCCTTACTTCGCAACATAATTATCACTATTACGTCTCTTTTCAGCTGATTTCTTTTCATTCCTTCTCCTTGTTTTCTCTTATTTACCCATATTTATTCACTCACTCATAGCAACCTAGAAATCTACTAAGGTTGAAGTGTAATTTTCCCTTTTTTTTTGGGGGGGGGGGGGGGGGGTTTGCTTATCGTGGGTTCAAAAATCAAAAATTAATAAAAACGCGTAGTATTGTAAAAAAAATATTGCCTCTCAAATCCAGATCGAAGCTAAAAAAACAAAAAACCTAAACAACTATATATAGCTATATAACTAGATATATAAATATACAGGGTGATTCATTAGGAGAAGACACTAATTTTCTCGAAATATATTAATATTTTGAACATTATTTTTTTCCAAGATTTTTTGGTACACATTGTACTATATTTTTCAATATCTTGAAATTTTTTATCACCAATCCTTGAAGACCAAAAAGGGTGGAAAAACCTTGGAAAAAATATTTTTCAAAATATTAATATATTCCGAGAAAATGAGTGTCTTATCCTTAATGAATCACTCTGTATAGCGAGAGAACGCACCGGCGCAGAAGTCTAAACGCGTATGCTCTCGTATGCGCCCGCGCAGCCAGGAGTAACGCGTTTCGGTTTCTGCGCCGGTGCGTTCTCTCGCGAAACGGGGTACGGTATGAGTCAGTAATATTGTTGTTTATGTGTGTTCACAGGTGAACGGGTGTGCGTGCGCTGTGACACTCAGGCCATGCGCCAGTCGCTAGGGTTCCGTTGTCCAGGCCACGGTACAATGGATCGGTCGACCCGGTGGACAGTGTTGTCGGCGCCCCATTGTCACGGCAAATGGGTCCGTCTAGAATCCACAGGTCAGCAGGACGGTCATTCGTGTCCCATGTGCAAAAAAGGAGCGCAGTTCGTTTTCGTATAAGCATATCCTTATTGTATTATTTTTTTTTCTCTTTCTGTTTACGATTATTATTGTTTCACTACACACTGTATAATGTACACACACGCCGTCGTATCTTATCCTCTGTCACCGTGTCATCCCAAAACCGGCACACACACATACCTACATATACATATTATTACTCTCTCGTCGTCTTTGCTAAAGTATTCTGCACTGGTCGCAGGCGTTTTTCTAAAAAAAAACGATGATAATTACCTACTCTAACCCATGCCGTTTCTTTTTCCAGGGACAATTATTTATCGTACATATCCTCTTCATAACACGTTTGTGTGTGTGTTTTTTTTTTCTAAAATAATATAATTTAATTAAACAAAGTACTCGCCTGAAATGTCTGTAATGTTCCCCACCCGTTACATCAATTCGTCGTTGGTTAGCCGTCAAAGTAATAGCAAATATTGGTATATATCGTAGAGATGTATACATGTATTATTATTTTTTAAACATACACAATAAAGTAACGAATGAATAGGTGATAATAAGTGATCGGTACCTACGTTTTAAATATTGATCTGTACATATTTATATTATTATTAATATTTTATGATACAACCGCGCGGTACCAATTTATTATTTAACATAAGTTATACCGCACTGTAATGGTGAATTATATTTTGTTGTTATTATAATAATAATAGCATATTTTGAGTTATTTAAATGTATTTATATTAATCATTTTACAGTAATAATTGTATTGTAAAACACGCCATGCCACGCCTCTCTTTAGTGTTAATTCATACTTCGACCGAGTTGATTTAGTTTCATTTTATAATTTTTATAATACATAAATTTACTTTGTTCTTAATGTATTATTACAACTAACTGATTGTAATTTAATAAAACTATAACGTGTAAAGTGAATATTGTTTTTTTTCTTTCTTACACGAGCTGCGTACAAATGTTATTTTTACACTCTTATAGTAAATAAAAGTAATACCTAACATAAAATGTTAAAATACAAATCCATACAGTTACACTAAGCTCTCATAACACTATATCCATCAACGCTTGGCATAGAACATCTGATTTACTCAAAGTTATTCAAAGAGAAATGTGCGACAGCTTCCAAAGAAGTGGATGATAGGTTATTTTCATATATTTTTTAAAACAGTATTGTATACATTTTATGATAATAAACGAAAAAAAAATTACCGTTTTCCATTAATTTTTTAGTTGCCTTATATTTTTATAAATTTGTAATATTCGCTTATGAATACAATTTCCAAGTTATTTGTGTAAATGGTTTTAAGCACGAACGGTTTAGATGAAATATTAAAATTTAGTGGATAATCAATAAACAACAAAAAAAATAAATAATTTGTGATTCCATTTTTGTTTTTATTTCAACAAAAATGTGAAGATTGTCCATTTTTTACAATTAGTACTAATTAGTAATTACTATACTTGTATTTTATTTAAAAGTTGTTTCATTTTCATCGGTTCCAGTTTCACATCTCAAATCAAATTAACACTATATATATATATATATATAAATTGAATAACTTGTAATTAATATACTTTTGAAATACATGGAATCTAAAAACATAGAAATTAAACTTTATAAATACAAAATTATAACAATTATAAAAAATACCTAAAATGTTAACCGACCTGCAATTTTTTCGGCATGCTAAATAAATTTCGTTTAAAATTATGTGAATTTTAATTACTCTAAACAAGTGTTGTAGTTACAAAAAAAAAAATGTTTATGGATACGCGCCTAAATTACTTGAAGACAATAACGTTGGAAACTTTGACCGCTTTTCCTAACCTAGTCCTACTGGTAGTAACCTAACCGAAACCTAGAAGTGATCCAGCCGATCCAACAATATGTAATTAGCGGGAGAGGAAACTAAAGTTGGAACATAATATCAATTAATAGTTAATTGAATATGTCTTCACTATAGGTCATAAATATTATAGACTTTATATACTGGTGACTTTTAATAATAAAACATCGTCAAAACTTACAAAAATGCCTGGATAAAAAAACCGTTTGTAACATTCAAATTCTAAAAAAAAATAATTACTATAATCTGAGTCAATCAAAATGTTTTTATTGATTTTTTTTTTTTTTACAAGTTGAAGTCCAGTTAAGCATTCGGATCATCGTACAATTATTTTAATCAACATTTGTTGTGGTATATAATATATATGACCAACGAAACAGTATGTGGAGAACAGATTGTATTGTGTTTTTCAACAGAATAATAATACATTGTTCAAATAAAATACACCTGTATATATATGCTTGTATTACGAACGGGGTGAGAATTAAAATTGTTATTTACGAGTTCCACAGTAGATCAAATTATTATACTTGTAAAATATAACATAATGATAACAATATTTTGCACCGTTATGTGTAACGTGGTGCTCACGCTAGCGCATGCGAGACGAATACCAAAATTTTGTTTACACATAAAGTCGAAAACGTGTACTACCCGATAACGCCACGTTAAGATGAGGAAACAAAAAAATATTGCATTTATCTCCCATAAGAAATTTGTTACTTTGCAATTACTCAAGGAAAAAAAACGGTATTTGACGAATGGATTCAAAATTATTAGCAAATTTGTAATTGTATAATATGTTTAATGCGTAGTCTTATTCATCAATTGATTTATTCAGACAATCATTACCGTTTGCTAAAATATTTCATATAAAATAATGTATTTATAGTAATTAATAGTGGTATACAATTTTATTAAGTAGTTTATATAAATATTGTTATTAAAATAATATTATAACTAAGGGAATTGAAAGCGGACGGTTTTTAAGGAGTTTTATATAGGCAATATATTTGAGCAAAAAAGTTGTCTTTTTCGACCATGTCAATTTATAAAGCTCAATGAATTTTTATAAGCTTAAACATTGAAATCAGACCATTCTAATTAGTGTAGTCGACATGTTCATCTAAAAATCGACCGTTTACAATCCTCTCAGGACCTCAATAATAAACATAATAAAATATTTGTAAAAGAAAAAAAAAATAGTAACTTTATATCATCATCATTCATCAATTAGACCCGTCGTACATTATACGGTCGACGTGGCCGGTTATGATGTTATTGAAAATAATGTGTTAAGTTTAGGGTGTACGGAAACTTATAAATAATATGTGTATGCTCTTATATATTATACACTCTTACTTACGCCGAAGGGTAGTACTTAAATACTAACTCGGAAAATTTATCTCTGTCTAAACTTTATTATTATTATTTTTTTTTTTTTTTGATAAATACAGAATTTGCTACGTCGTACAAGCTTAGAAAATGGTTTACGCTTCAGCTTCAGTGCAACTTTTTGGGGGTTAACATTTTAAAGACGTATATATAAATTATATTACCACAACTCGGCTAGAATTGAGTTATTTTCGTTGTAATACATATAAAGTGTTTTTTAACACATTAAATAATGTAGTTTTTACTACAGTCTACATTATCAATATCTGAATTTAAATCTACAATTAACAATACAAATTGTTTTTTACCTAATTGTAATAATCTGCTACACAAACTTGATTACTATGATTATTCATTATGTTTTATGAGAATAAATTGTGAAAAAGTTATTCGAATAATTTTTTTTATATGATATTTAATTTAAAAATACAATGAATAATTTTTTTTTTTTTATAAATTACCAACAAATATTTGAATAAAATTGTATTTGAATCATTTTTGTTTGAATATCAATTCGCAAAACACTGATAACAAGTGATGAAAATTAAAAAATTGTCCTAACAATATGTTGAAAATTAATAAGTACTTTTTTAAATGTTAGTTACCTTAGTTGTAAGCTGTAAGTTGGGTCCTAAATCATCGATTCTGATAGTGAAACGAATTATGGCTTCAGCCGGAACACAGACAATAGATTTATTTTGGCTTAGATTTTTCTATGAAAAGCCAATCACCAAACCTATAATATGTTCTAAATTACACATGTAAAGTTAATTGATATTTTGTTTTTAATCTTATGTTTTAATTAATTTATTTATTTATTTGAATTTGACGGGTTTAACAACCCAATCACATGTGTAATATTTGATTTCTAGTGTTAAGTAGTATATATTATAGGTACATACTATATAAAGTAGCTAACAATTAATTATAAAATAACTTAAACTAACAATTTACAAGGATAATAATACAATGATCTCAAAACAATATATTAATAACGTATAACTAGTGGACGCATTGAACTAGGTAAAGTACTTAAATTTAAACTTAAATATTGCTTAAAGGATATAATGACTGATTTGTGAAAAATGTTGAATTATTTTTTTTACTTTAAAAATATTCATAAAAGTATTGACCATATTTATTATTTCTCAATCGGTTTTTTGGAGGGATGCTAAGACTGTTCCTTTCCCTAATTTACCCCATAAAAGTGATTTAGTATGACATTATCAAGGGCATAAGGAAAAAAAATGTACATAAACAAATACTGTTGATAAAAATATAAAATGTAATGTTTAACTAATCTATTGGAAAGTTAATCTGTTTTAATTAAAATTGTTTATACTTATGTATATATATTAATAATCTGTTTTTTGTTTAAATGATTTAAAAAGCTACTGTTTCCCGATATTATGAACAGAATTAAATCGTTTATCGTTATACTTTATCAGTCAACGAAACCCACTAAACCGCTTTTTTTTTGTGTATAATTTTTATAATCAATTCAGTTGAACACAATATTAACGTATGTGAGTTAATCAGTAAGTTAATTATAAACTTAATGAATTCACTTCGTGGGAAGCAAAAATTCACTTAACTCTGGTGACGTATTCGCCGAAAATAAACAAGCACTTACTTTATATTCCATAATAATCTAATAAAACTAAAAAACAACAACTTGTTTATTTTTCTCCGACGATAAACTTCAATTTGTATACATGTAATATGCATATTCAAGCTTAATATAGACTTTTTGTTATGTACACTTGAATATTTTTATCAAATCACCCATAGGTAACGTTGAAAAAATAAATAGGTATAGTATTAAAATTTAATTAAAATGTTTATGGTTAAGAACCGTTTTTCTATAAATTTAGTTATACTATATTTTTTTATAAATATTGCTGATCGGGTAAAGATTATCTCATAAGATAATACGGTTGTTCATATAGTAGTTAATTTTTATATACTTGCATAGACATAGTGTGCACAGAGAACAATTTCTATTTATACCATATTAGCGAAAATTTTAAGTTAAAATGTATGTATTTTCTTTTTATCTAAGTATACAAAAACATTTTATGTACAGAATATGGAAGAAATGTGTCTGTCATCTGAAAGTCGAGACAAAACTAATACTAAGATATGCATTGGCATTGTATCTTTAAAGATACTTTCGTGTTATATTCTATAACTTTCCGTGACCAACCTAAACAAATAGTATTATTTAAATCATTTTTGATATTAAAAAACAAGTTCTTTCCATATTAAGGATTAATATTTTGTAACAATTTAAGTCGGCATACCAATATATTAAATAATAAAAATAAATGTTATTATTTATTTTTTTTATTACATGATTCATGGAAAGGTATCAAAACTTAAATTGTTTAGAAATTCTAAAAAACGTTAAGCTTGTTTTTTAATTAAAAACAGTATTGTCATGACATCTACAAAAATAAAATGCGTTAGTTTTATAAATCTAAAAAAAAAAAATGTTTATTGAAATAGGCACTTTTTCACAAACATATTTTTAAAAAAAAGTTTATTTTATTAATATTATTATTATTTTTTTTTTTTATTGAGATTTTGGAAGTAAATTAAAAATTATTATATCTTCGACAAATTGTGCGAATTCGCCTAAAAATTACAGTTTTAATCATTATTTATACGCAACAAATTATTGTGTGTCCCTTTATAAAGTTTTGTATGTAACTCATTGGAAGTTTTCAACGTTCATTTTTGCCGATCGAATTAAACGTTTTGCTTGTTGTGACAACACGTAATAACGTGAAATCGATTTTGCGGACGTGGTCGTAAAATAGACGGATTTTATATGACAACAGTAATTCCGAAATGAAAGTTTTCCACCTAGCCATCAATCTAAAAGAACATCTGGTGCCAGCGACAAACTTCTGGCAAACAATATAA